TTATTTGGAGAAGCCGATATTATAGGAATTATGAAGAGTAGCAGAATAAGATGGGCTGGTCATGTTTGGAGATCTGAAGTTGTACTGGGGAGCATAACAAAATGGAAACCAAACACAAAACGGTCTCGAGGAAGACCCAGACAATGGTGGGCTGATAGAGTCAAGGATGACCTCAGGATGATTGGTGTGGAAAATGCGGAGGAAATGTCAAGAGACAGGGAAAAGTGGAAGGATGTTGTTGTTGCAGCAATGGACCTTAATGGTCTTTAAGACGCCTTAGAAGAAGAAGAAGGATTATTTTTCACCATACATTTTTGGTAGTAAAACCACTACCTATTTTTGATTTTAAAATGACAACCTATATTAAAAATTCCATAATTAGATGTTGGTTTAACCACCTTCTCCTTCAAAATATGGGTGACAAAAAATAACATAAATATGCAATTATAGAGCTGTACTTGTTTCTTAAATGTTCAAGAAAACAAATTCTAAAAAAAGTTAATACATTCCAATATAATGAGTGTACCCACTTAAAATGGATCACATTTTATGTTATATATCAAATAAAGATATTTTTGATTAATATATTTATTTATTTTATTATAGCTATTCATTAATAATGAATTTGTAAAATCATCATCCGGAAAGACATTTAATACACTCAACCCAGCTACTGGTGAATTAATTGTACAGGTTCAAGAAGGGAATGAAGTATGTTCTATAAATTATATTTAAGAGAATATGTTACATAATAACTCCAGTTTGTAAATGCATAACATAGAAAATATTGTTTAGCAAGATCAATGTTGTGCTGTTAGTGTTAATTTTAGAGTAAATTGACCACTGCAAGATTATAAAAGATCTTGTTTAAAAATTAAAATATTTAATAAATTGATTTACAATCACAGATTATGTTCTTACCTTTAAGTTAGACAATAGTCAATTCACTCTAATATTAAAAATTATAGCACAAAATTGTTATTGCATTTGATTACTGGTATTATGTCTTATTAGTGTTTTTATATTTTATGTTTTCCATTATATAATTGTTGTTTGTTATTGATTCAGGTGGACATAAATATTGCAGTGGCTGCTGCTCAAGAAGCGTTCAAATTGGACAGCCCTTGGCGTACTATGGATGCTTCAAAACGCGGTGCACTTCTCAATAAATTAGCAGATCTAATCCAACGTGATGCTGTCTATTTAGCTGTATGATTTAACTAGATTATACATTAAAAATGATAATAAAATAATTTATGTTTAATTTTAGAGTTTGGAATCTTTGGATAATGGTAAACCATACAGTGTTGCATTGTCTGATGATATTTCAGGGAGTGCTAATGTAATACGTTATTATGCTGGTTGGGCTGACAAAAATCATGGAAAAGTCATTCCAATTGATGGTAACTACTTTGCATACACTAGACATGAACCAGTTGGTGTCTGTGGTCAAATCATTCCTTGGAATTTCCCATTGTTAATGTTGTCATGGAAAATCGGACCTGCTTTGGCTACGGGTAAATTATTTAAAATATGAAAAATGTATCCATATGTATGAGATTACTGTGCCATCATATTTTTTACCGGATGGGCCTAATTTAATGTACATTTTTAATTAATATGATAAGTATATAATGTTTAACATATTATAAGGAAGTGTTTATTTCAATAAGGAGATTTTTCATTTACTAGTTATATTATTTGGTTGAGTGGTTCATTTACTAAATAGTTGAGTAGCATAGAATAAGAAATTAATAACAATGTACATATAAATGTGATTTAAAGTAATTTTATAGTTCTTATATTATACATTTTAAGTACTTTCATATTTATTTCACTGCTAAAACCTTATTTTAATAACTCATATTTATTAATATTCAAATTTTAGTTAGCAAATATTCACAACTTAATAAAATATGAGTTTTTAAAAATATATTAGGTGTGTGTGTTTTTAATAGAACTATTAAATTGTCTGGATCCAAATCATAAAATAAATCCAAATGATTTAACTATTACTAGATAACAGGAGAAATACAAGCACTAATCACTAATCTATATTAATGTAATAATTTTTGTAAATTTAAACAGGGAACGTTGTGGTTTTAAAGCCTGCTGAACAGACTCCTCTAACTGCCTTATATGTTGCTAGTCTTATAAAAGAAGCTGGATTTCCACCTGGAGTAGTAAACATTATTCCTGGTTATGGTCCTACTGCTGGAAAAGCTATTGTTGATCACCCAGGTGTAGACAAAATTGCATTTACTGGTTCAACTGAGGTAAATTTATTATTGGAAATTTTATCAAAATATAATAACAGATTTTACAATGTTTTTAAATTAGGTTGGTCAAATTATAGCTGAAAGTGCGGCTAAAAGCAATTTAAAAAGAGTAACATTAGAATTGGGTGGCAAATCTCCAAACATTATTTTTAGTGACACTGATATTAACTATGCTGTGGAAGGTGCTCATTTTGGACTTTTCTATAATATGGTCAGTTGTACTGTTTATTTCAATAGTTTTTTTAATTTATAACTCAAATTCAAATGGACATCCAGCAGAAACTATTAATGTATTCTAAAATTATATTATAACTTTAAAAATTTTAAATTTTGGTTTAGGGACAATGCTGTTGTGCTGGTTCTCGAACATATGTTCAGGATTCAATTTATGATGAGTTTGTTGAGAAGAGTGCCAAGAGAGCAGAAAAACGTGTTGTAGGTGATCAGTTTGATCCAAAAACTCATCAAGGACCTCAGGTTATATTTTGTTTTATTAATAATGCCCTGGGCTAGTATTGTGACCTGTTAAGCAAAAGTTCTGTAACTCGAAAATAAAAAAACCTAGTTAGCTTCAGAACCTGATAGATTACTAATTGTACATATTGTAAAGTTAAAAAAAAGACATAATTATAGTCCATTGAAAATGCTGTAACAAACAAAATTAATAGTATTAAGTAAGAATGTTATATCTCAAATTTACTGAACATAAATCTCATTAATATTTTTTTTAGTTTTTAAATTGTTATTTTCCTTATCATTTAGAAAGTTATTATTTCATTATGAAATTGTGAATTATTTTAGATTTTGAGTAAAGCAAGGAATGTTGTGGATTTATTATTATGTTTATTTATTTATTTTTTTTCTGTGTAAACAATTTCTATCAAAAATCTTGCTCTGATTTTCAAGTGTAGCACCTTTTCTAAAAGGAATTATTATCTGGTTGTTATTTTTTGATTTTCTTAGCAGTTTTTATAATAATTGGGAAAAATAGGAAAATATTTAAAAAAAATAATGGTTATATCATTTTCAATTTTCAATTTTTGTTTTAATTCAGTTAGAAATGTTCATAGAAACTGGAAATTAGGACATTAAACTTATATTTGTTTTCCTAGATGTGGTCAAATTTTCAAAACATTAGATCTGTTTTAAGTTATTTATAGAAGTTATAATTTTGCTAGTTTTTATGTAATTTTCATTTGGTGGTAGTACTCTGTAGATAAAATTGTTAGACCAGAAATGTTTGGAAACTTAACATGAGATTATAGCAGGAACAAATGTACAAATGTTCAATGTAATTATATGTATTTTGATAAATGAATACAAATATTGTTCCATTCAATTCAAAATAATCCAAATCATGAACATAACTGAAGGGTCAATTAATTAGGACTAAAGGAAAACTAATGCAAATGCATATAAATCTGAGCCATAACAGAGTTGATGCAGATATAAGATTAAAAAAAAAAAAAAAAATGATAAATTAAAACTCTAAATGCACACCTTTTTCTTATCTAAGAGATTTTTTTTTCATTTAATAAATTTGGATGTAACACTACGGTTATATATATCTACAACCATGACTTGATACTATATCGATGCTACTATTGTTTTCAGCGTTTTTTTATTTTCTTGATTTCCATGATAAATTTAAAATTCTAAGTTTTTTTGGTAGTGTAACAACTGTGTCATATAATGTATAAAAAATATAATGTATTTTATAATATTTATTTGTGTTAAACAAATAGATTGATGAAGAACAAATGAATAAAATTCTTAGCTTGATTGAAAGTGGAAAGAAACAAGGTGCATCACTTGTCTCCGGTGGCTCACGAGTTGGTGATAAGGGCTATTTTATACAACCCACTGTGTTTGCCGATGTTAAAGATGATATGAAAATAGCAAAAGAAGAAGTAAATATTGAATTAAATAATATTATATTTTGATATATTTAATTGTAAGTTGTAACTTATAGATTTTTGGTCCTGTTCAACAAATATTAAAGTTTAGTGATTTTGATGAGGTAATTAGCCGAGCTAATAATTCAGACTATGGATTGGCAGCAGCTGTATTTTCAAAGAACATAGATACAGTTAATAAAGCAATTCAGAGTTTCAGAGCTGGCACTGTGTGGTAAATAATCTATATATTTTTAACAATTTCTATCAATCTTGTTATATTAAATTGTTTATAGGGTTAACTGTTACAATGTACTTGGAGTACAAACTCCATTTGGAGGTTACAAAATGTCTGGTCATGGACGAGAACTGGGTGAATATGGCCTACAATCATACACTGAAGTTAAAACAGTTATTGTTTCTACTCCCCAGAAAAATAATTAATAATATTCTACAATTTAACATTTTTATACATATACTTATATTGTACCTATTTTTAAATTAAACAAATGTATAAGCTTTATCATTATTAATTATGATTATGAGTGTATACATACTAAAATAATTAAAATTATATTTTTCAATCTCATTTAGTTGAATTATTAATATTCTTATTTTTTATATTTGTTTTAATGAATAAAATTAATTTTGAAAATTATTTTTACAGAAACCTAACTGATAAAACTTAAGGTTATTGAGTTATAAACTGCTGTGCGTTTTGAATATTCGTGGATATATATATTTACTGAAAGTTTTTGTTGTATTTCTAGAGGTCTTCTTACTCCATTTTGAAAAATAGTTTTATACAAAGCAATATTATACAGTGTTCATAATTTCTCTATGTAAATATTGTTTGATTTATGTAGTTTAAAAATAAAAGACCTTTAACTGTCATAAACTATCAAGTCACTAATGTATGTATTTTATACTTCAATCAATATAATTAAAACTAAATAATCTACAATTCAGAGGCTTTTATTATATTTTGGTAAATACAAATTTGCAAATTATGCAACAATTATTACAATATTTTCAAAAAAGAATAACAATGATTTAAGATTGTTATCCAAAATTTTCCCAATTTTGATAAGGATTTTTCTGAGTCAATTTTTGATGGAATTTAGTTCCTCCCATCAGAAGAAGCACTAAAAATACCTATTTTATTTTTATAGACTATATTCTGCATAGAACTTTTAGTTACTTAACTGTTTGTAATTTGAATGTTTATAACTGTTTATTATATAATTGTTTAGTATACCAAACATGTCATTCCTATTTAGTTTTAATAAAATGGGGGAAGTTACTGAAATAGATTATGGATTAACTAGGTATTTTATATTAATTCATAACAGGTACAACATAGTTAAAACTATATTGTAATTATATGTAAGTACATAAATATATGCATGTATAATATTGAATCACTAAGTTTGGAAATTTTCATAATAGCTGTGTCACTCATTGCTTCTCCACATATAAAGTGCATTCTGCACATTTGGAAAAATGTAACATATTTTTGATGTATATGTTAATGGCATCCAATTTTCACTACTTTACTTGATGCCATGCCTTTTTCAAGTATAGTTGTTCATCTTTATGAAAATGTATTGTTTTTAAAGTTTTAACAATATTATTTTCAAACTGAAATAGAAAAACAATAGATAAATAATAACACTTCAGCTATAAAATAAAATGTTTGTAGATATTATTAATTTTAGGTCAGTAGTCGGTAGGTACTTAGAAAATGATATTACAGAATTTTACTGATTGTTTGAGAAGCTCCTATGACTTCAGTTGAAAGAGGTGAAACATTATTCACAGGTTTTGGCTAGATCTAATTCATTTTTCTGATCTTCCTTGATATATAACTAGCAAACACAGTTAAGGCATGTTTATCAATTCTAGAGTCCACATGTTCATTGTATTATCAAAAAAAATTAGCCAAGGTTTTTTGAATAAATATTGATTAGTATTAGAGAATGTTGAATTAAAATATGTTAACTAGTTTCTTCAAATTGGCTCTTATTTTCGAGATAATAATCATAATAGTATCTAATGATTAAATACACTTCTTTTTTGACTATTTGTAATCTTATTTACAGTCTAATACATTTTTAAAAGTTTCACATATTTTTCTATTCACAGTGATTATGTTAGCTAATAACATAGCAAACACAATAATGACATTTTAAAAATTCTTATAAAATTTAATTTTTAATGGTTAGTTCATAATTGTAAATTAAATAAAACAAAAAAAGCTACAGTGAAAAGTTTAGTTTAGTTTTTTGATAAACACTGATCAAACTCAATCTTAGAGGGCTGAGCAAATCAGTCCCAAAGTTTGCACAACTTGTTAATAACACAATATATTTATATTTAAGGAGAAAAATCAAACATTTTTTTTCTATTAGAATTTAACTAGGTCATTGTTAATTTTTTAAGAATTAGTGATTATCTCAAAAACGAGAGGAGATTCAGAAGTTTTGTTCTATTTTTGATCAAAATGAACAAAAGGTAAAAACAAATATAATATAAACAATAAACATTTTATATTTATTTATTTTCTTTGTGATTTTGTTTTTGAAACACAATAGGTGTATTATATGTTATTTTTAATTTTTAAAATAAATGTGTTATATTATAGGCAAATAAAAATGATTAGTATTTAGTTTCAATAACTATAAGACATTTTACTTAAGTATCCACCAATAATTTCTATCATAAATATATATTTTAATTCTATGATATTTAAGTTTACAGATTGACTTCCTACATTATTAATAATCAAGAATGACTTGATACCTTAGATGAAGTATAGTATAAAACAGAAAATAATTGTCAACCTCAATTGTTCATTAAAAAATATGGTCTCACAAAGTCCAACCAAATGTCTGATTTGTTGATAAAAAAATAAATGAAGGAAGTATGTAGATACAAAAAGTACAAGCCGACAATGAACAAATTTTAATGGAGGTTGATATGAATGATATGGGTAGTATATGTTTTTTAAAACATTAGCTTTAAAAGCAAACATATTTCCATGTAAAAGAATACATGAAGCAAAGGTCAACATATTTGCAGTAATGGCAGAATTATAATAGAAGTATACCTGAACAAACCACTTTAAGCTTACTTCAGTCACCATTAACAATACCAAGTCCATATTCAGAGTCTACATATTCCCAGTTCATTGTATAAAATTTTGATGATTCATCAGTCTCATAAATTATTTGATTTAATAAACATTATATTATTAGTGGTACATAAAGTTAAAACAAAAATTAGAATAAATAATAATAATATAATTTGAAATAGGTTTTTATAACTATGAAAAATAAATAATTACTATTATCAAATCTAATTTACTAATACCTACAACAAAAACTATTTTAAGACTTATTTAATTTTATTTAAAAAAAAAAAAATATTACATATATATTGTATTTAATTTTTTAAATTTGGTCGCTAGTGAAGAGACCCTTCATTTTTAAAACATGTTTTGAACACATCTTTGACTTGAAAAACTTCAATATTCAAAAACTCTTTTCTTCGAGTTTGTCTTATCATATTGTTAATAGGTGATGATTTTTCTTTATTATGATTGATAAATGCTTTTTAATGAAACTATTCAATATTTTTCTTCGATATTTTCATATTCTAAATAGTCTTTATTTATTGTTGCTAATGCCAAACCATTCAACCTTTCTTCATTCATTATAGCTCATAACTATGTTTTCAGTCTTTTATTATAGAAAATGTACGTTCAGGGTTAGTGAATGTTACAGGCAGAGTAATAAATAAATGAAGAATCTTCTTTATATTTTGAAAAAGCTCTGTGCAATGTCGAATTGATTCTACAGCAGTCTCTGGTAAATTTTGTTCCAATTACCATTGCTTTCTCCATATGAATAATTCTGATTTTAAACCAAATGTACTAGGTAAAAATATTTTTTATAATTATGAAAAAGTGACCCAGAATTAGTAAGACTTCGGATACGAATAAGTTTTCCATCAATGGCTAAAATACTATTGAGAATATTCTATTTGTAGGAAAATTCTGTTGCTTTTTGTTTAAAATCAATATCTTTGATATCGGGCATTTAAATTCACATCAATTTATTTTTTAACGCAACTAATGTATTTTAATTTTTAAATTCTGAGCGTACCGAAGGAGCTATTGATTTTATTAAGATGTTTTTTTTCTTTATTTTTTTCTAAACTATGAACACGTTTTTTCCTAGTAAACATGCTCCAATTTTTTTTACGAATACCAACTTTTCTGACAGCTCAAGTTTGCAAGTTGTTTTTGATTTTCGACGCTATTTTTTAAATAAAAGCACTTAAGTAGGAAAATGTACAATTTCATTATTTTATAAAAACACGGAAAACGTTTTTTACCAGAAAAAAATAATTTAGTCGAAAAATTACAAAATAACTTTTTTGTTGCCTTTTTGATTTAATTTCTTACGGTATCATCGCAAAAACTTTTGGGACACCATTGAGCTTTTATGGAATTTTAATTTTTGAGAATTTTTTTGCTGTAATTCGGTTATAAATACACGCAAAGACTTGAAACTTGGTAATAATAATTATATTGAACTTATCTAGACGTGGTAAAATTTCCAAAATCATTGGATGACTTTTTTTTTTTAATATGAGTGTTGAAATCAAATTTAAACGAAAATCGCAAAAAAAATTACGGCACTTCAAATCATGTATTACCGAACTGCGTTCGGAATCGTCTTTCGCCAGCAATGGTTTATCGTTGCTTACTAATGTAAATGAAATAACCTTATGTATCCTACCTTCCCAACTTCTCACCTACAACAGTGGCCGCTCTAATCTCCAGTATCAGCTCTATTAGTTTTTTTTGATAGTGCTTAAATAACTATGACTTATTTGTAATGATGATGACAACGATCTAATGGATTCAACAGTTGCAAGATATATGTTTAAAAATATTAATCTAATTAATACTATTATTAATAGTAATTCATTAATTAATTATTATTTAAATAATAAATAAATAATTTACCTTAAAGTAATTGTTAATTTTTATGCAGGAGTAATTGGTTTTTATTTATACAGTTATATGATTGTAAAATTAATTCATTTCCACCGATTATAGTAAAAATTGAATTGTTGGTGATTTAAACGGAAAGTTTCACATTTTGTTTCTTTATTTTTAAGTGCCAATTTATATTTATAAAACTCATCACTGTCCCGATGTTAAAATATTTCATTAGCTGAATTTCTATTTGTTGGGATTAAATTATCAAATATAATATTATCTTCGTCTTTTTTTTTAATAAAAGTATTAAAAAAATATTATTAACGATATTAACGATTAGGCTGTTCATTGTAAAATTGTATTTAATACGATTAGATATTTAGATTTAAAAATACGTGCGTGTACCTATTTACAGGTTTTAAACTGAAATTAGTTTTTATTTTTCTTTTTCAGATTTTCCTAATTATTAATAAAACTATAGAGAAAAAAAAAGAATTACTTACTCCCGAACTAGATTAAAAATAAAACAAAAAAGGTTTCATTTCGTTTTTATATTAGAGCAATATTTTTAGTAGAAAGTTGTAAAAATTTAAAATTATAAAATTGTTGTGCCGTATA